TCACAAAAGGGTAGTACCAGACACCTAATATTTTACAGGCATACAAATAAATATATTTGCCAATATAACTTTAACAAATCAGATTCCGGAACCATCTGTGGAACCGCTGTATGTCACACCTCTCTCCACCAATTTCTAGAATAATGGTGCCGCTAATAACATTGGAATTCTCTAAATTGCCCTAATAAATCGGAATTGGCAATTCGCCAAACTGCTGGATCGTTACAGCTCCCATACCCCACTGTTGCTCGGCGGGTAGTACATGTATCAACAGGTTTAGCGTCTTATGTTGACAAGTAAGTCATACTTGTTATACTTTTTGGAATTTTGATTTGGAGTAACTGAGGTGTTTGAAGTGTTTGCAAAATTTAAGTTCTTTTTTAAAACCTTTACAGCTTTAGAAAAACTGTTTCAACCTGCTGAACAATTCACAATAGTTGCAGGAGTGTACTATTTTTGCACATATAGTTGATTCTCTTCGCTTAATTAATGATACTATTGTTACAGATAAACCATTATCAGAACTTCAGTAGCAAGAGAAGTAGATGGCTTCACGTATCAAGTAAGTCATAAGAAAGAATTTTTCTTTTTTTTTTTTACTTTTATGTCTGGTTTATGTTGGAGTTTTTTTTGACAGCTTTATTAAGAAATCTTTTATAGGATGAACTGTTTTTTATTTTCTTTTCTACTCTTCTTTATTTTGCTTATTTATTCAATTCGTTCATAAAACTAAGTGGCTTCATTTATTGCACATTCAGTATGATATGAGAACATATATAAATGCAGTCATAGAAAAGGTAATTTTTTGTAATTAAGAATATATTAGTTTTCAGTAGACCAAAGACTCGGCGTGGTAAGCGACATTTAGAAGAACGAGCGCCGAAGGTGATTGAAAATGATAAAACAGCTTTGATAATCAAGGGTGGGAAAACGAGCGAACTAGTTTCAAATGTATTAGCTGATATTTATGCGCTCAAAAAGCCATTTGCTCAGCAGCTAAAAAGGTGCTTTCTTGTCAGCGCATCAGCAGTTTCGTAACTTTTTTAATTATCACTATTGTTCAACCCTATCCATCTGATTTGTTAAAGTTAATTTTTTACCAGCTTTAAATAAGCAGAGCTGTGTGAAACTCTTTAAATTTTATGGATTCAGGCGGAATCCATTTCATTTGTTTGAAGATGAAGTACCACTGGAGCAATTTTCAACAAAATACGACGCATCCTTATTCGTTTTTGGGTCAAATTCAAAGAAGCATCCTGACTGTTTGATTTTTGGAAGACTATATGACTTTCACATACTGGATATGGTGGAGCTACGGATAGAAAATTACGTCTCCTCCAAAGAGTTTTCGGTTAATGGTTACTACATATGTGAATCTATAAGTTTTTCTAAAATGTGTCATTATTAGTAAACGTTTCATGTTTTTCGATTCACTGTAACTTTTTTGAGATGTTTGATGAAACTTTCAAAAGTTGAAAATAAATAAAGAAATGAAGTAAAACAAAGTAAAGAACGAAATTTTCAGTTTTTTTGGTCGTATAGGGTCTAATAGATACTTTTTACTTTCTTTCTGCTGACAATACGTTCTTGACTTCTTAATATTCACCTTGAAGTGCTTTCGTTGCAACTTATGGTTGGAAAAGCCAGCTGTGTCTGTGAGGAAAAGGATGATACGCAAGTACAGTATTATTTCAGGCACCTAGAGTAGTTTTGGGGGCAAAGCCTTGTATAGTTTTGCAAGGTACAGCTTTTGAAAGCGATACTACGATGAAAAGATTAGGCAACTTAATGGTGGACTGGTTCAGAGGTCCGGTTGTGGAAAACATCGCTTTGCAAGGCCTTGAACTTGTCGTATCGTTAACAAGTGTAGGAGATCATCTACTTTTCAGAGTTTACCGGTAAGCTTTTGCAGTTAATTTTTTGTTACAACATTCTGTTTTAGTTTTTTGGGGTACACTACAATTTTTGAATTGTTTAGGACTTGTCTGAAAAGATCAGCTAGTACTTTTCCACGAGTGGAACTTTTAGAGATTGGACCAAGGATTGATTTCACCCTCCAGCGGACAAAACTTGCTAGTGATTCACTTTTTAAACTAGCTCTGAAGCAACCCAAAGAAATTAAGGTAACTGTTTATTAGCAGATTCGCACTTATTTTCTAAACCGGTATAATTGGGACGGACAGTACAGTGGCGGAGGATAGTTATTTTGTTGTCTTTACTGATATTTTTAGGCTAAGAAGGCTAAAAACACTTCAATGGACATCTTTGGAACTAAGCTTGGTCGGATACACGTTGGCAGGCAGGATTTGAACTCTTTACAAACAAGGAAAATGAAAGCTTTAAAGAAAAGTCCTAACAAGAGTGCAAGTCAACCTGAAGACCGATAGTCAAAGGTGATATCTTTTGTTTTATACTATTAAATAGTTGGGCTAGAAGGACTTTTTATGTTTTTGTTACTTGTTCTGTACTGCAGTTGTTCATTTGTTGAATACTGAATGTTCCTTGCTTCACTTATGCATAGTTGTCTTTTGTTGACATGGCCACTGAGTAACTTTTTGAAGTGCGTATGACCGTTAAAATTTATGTTGTAATTTAGGCTGAAAATAAAAGTTGAATTTTTTTTGCGTTTGAGAAATTTTTGAGAACGTTGTCTTTAACAAAGGTGTTAGCTCGTCTTCTTCCCAAATCTGGTATGAAGTGACGGCGTGTTTAGCTGTGCTGAGGTGCTGGACAATTGAAGCTTAGACTGGGAAGGGAAAACAAAGTGGTCTAGTAAATACTTTTTGGAGTTATTAAGCGGGTACGAGGAAAAGATTGGGCGGAGAGGGTTGTAAATTTGCGTTATTAGTGATGAGTCCTTAAAAGTGACCACATTTTGGTTACTTGTCTCGTTGCAAACATAAGTGATATACAAATTTGGCTAAAGATATTTAATCTGGGTTTAGTAAACCTATATTATCAGATGGTTTTTTAACATTTAATCTCTCCGTAGCATTCCTTTAACGCTGAAGCACTTAGAGGAATCAGATATGAACTTTAATTTTGATCTGCAAATTTCGTTATTTGGTGAGGACTGCTCAAAATACTTGAGGCTATTTCCAAAATTCTTATTGCTTTAAGTGCCCCCATCGAGCAAAATTGGTTTGGGAAAAGGATTGGCGCAAGTGAACTGCGCTTCACTTCTTTTTCAGTATTGCTATCTTTAAAGAATGATAAAAGTTTTAAAAAAGAATTTCAACATAATTTTTTCGAGTTTTTACTGTGCGATTATTTATCAAATGCTGGTCTTAGTCCGACGTATGAAGTCTTATTCCTAGGTGTATTCTGGACAAAGTTGGTTCTTTGTGCTTACTACTGTGGCTCTTAATAATTCTTAGTCATTTGGCTCTCGATTGTAATAACCACTAAAGTGAGCTTCCTGCAATGAATAATTCAAAAAGATTTTTCACGTTGTGGATTTTTTGGAGGCTGAAGTTACGACGAATTTGTTGGGATGAATATAACTTTTTCAAAACGACTTCAAAAATTTTATTTGGTGTCATTTATTTGCAAAGGTGTTCTATCGGTGGGAAGACAAAGTAGAAAGGAAATGACGAGGAAGGTAATAGATAAAGACCACAAGTACAGTTTACAGAGGCTTTGAAATGATTTGATTTGACGAAGTTTATTATTGCTGGGACAGTAAGTTACAGTCGGTAGAACTACCTTTCTTTTTGTATCATCTGTGAAGAATCTTTAGGTCTCAGCCTGGAAGCTTCATTTGTTCAAGTAATACTGTTTAGGAGAAAGTTCAACGAGCACCATGCATGAGACAATTTGAAAGAATATTTTTTTCGAAATCTTCAGTTTGGTTTTCAAAGGTTACGTGTGCAAAAGTGAATTATGCGGATTTTGTTTTTTCCGAAAGTGTAATGATAGTTTGTGAATTGAAAATTGTAAAATATTACAGGTCTGACAGAGGAATGCTTACTGCTGTTAATGCTTACTGAGCGTAGTTCCGTCAGAGGATTTCTCGGTGGATCAAAAACTTTATAGAATTGGCTTCCTAGTAGCAATGGATGCTTATTTTGGCATATTTCTGAGGAACACGAGTCTTGCGCTGATGCCGCCTTGCATTCCCCTTACTTCTTACGTTTAATGCTTATACACCTATCATTCTCTTGGAGTTTTGAAGCGGCTTGAAATTTAAAATTTGTTTTAACATTTTGGTTGCTCTTTCGAATAACCATATGGGTTCTTTTAGTTGAAGGAAGGAAAATTTCTCGTTGTTTGAGTGCCACAAATCTAGCATCTAGTTGTTGGAAATAAAACTTCAGGACTTACTGACTGACTAAAAGTTAAACTTTTAGAAACATTTTGTTCGTTGACGTATTCTTTAAATTACCAAAAATACGTTTTTTTTTAAAGTTCCAAAATTTTGGAATTTTGAGCAAATATAATTTGATATTATCTGTCCTTTTTAATTTACTTTTTTTTCTTGGTTTTCAAAAATTCTGCTACGAAAGCTAATAAGCCGTAGTTTTGAACTCGTCGAACAACTTCTTTACAAAATCTGTAAGCAAAAATTTGAGGGGACTCTTGATAAAGAGATTTTATTTACAATTTGTCAGAAGCAACTAGAACAGATATAACATTTCATACAAAAGAGTTCTTTTTCTTGATAAATCTAAACAAAATTAAATGAAAATAAAATTGAGAAGCTTTTTGGCTAATGCCAACTACGCCTCTTCAGATACTTAGAGTTTACAGACATAATGTTAGGAAAAAATGCATTATCAATTAGAAATTATGTTGAATATGAAAGTTCTACAGCTGTTTTTTTGGAGATCATTTTATTAAATTTTTAATAAGAAGTTTATTTTAACAATAGGCAATAAAACTAAACTTTCGCCACTTAGTTTTTTATTTGAAAAAATACTTCTTTCCTGAAAATTGGAACAAAAAAAGGCGAGAAGAACAGAGTGGAATATGACCTAATTTGAAGATCTCTCAAATAAGACATTTAGCCATCGTTACTGACTCGTATGGAATTTCCAAATTTTGAATTATATTCCTTTTACATTGCACACAAGCAGTCAATAGTTTTGCTGTTGACTTTATATCCCAAAAATCCCAAATCAGTTTGTGAAAATAGACCTTTATAAAATGGAATGGATTAAAATTTGGTAACATATATAGTAAGGTGAATTTAAATTACAAAATTTGCTTATCTACTGCTTTAGTAGCACTATCAATAGCACCTTTAAAAAAATTCTAACTTTTTTCCCCGTAAAAAACATACAAAAACACATACAGACACACAGACACGCAGACACGCAAACACGCATGATAAAAACCTTTATTACAATCATTGCTTTAAATTCACCAATTTTTTCTGACAAAATAAAATTATTTTTTTGCTTTCTTAAGGAAGTATTATTGTTGTGAATCTGATATTATATGAGGTATTTTTTCCAAATTCAGTTTAGAATTTAGTCTGCATGATCCTGATGAAGCTCTTCTTGCATCACGTATGTTTGATTTGGTAGCTGTTATATGATGAAACATGCTTAACGCCTGTATCACCTGAAATAGCATATTTAAGTTGGCTAATGCTGCCAAACAAGCCCTAACAGTAAACTGTTATGAAGGGTATTGGTGTATCCGATTTAATTAGCTGTAATTGTAATACTGAACAGCTGAACACGCAAAAACATCTTAATATCAAAATTTTTTTAGTTTTCAACTTAAAAAAAGAAAAATTCTTTTTTGCCGCATCCTTGAATATGTCTAAAGACCGTAACTAGCTTAGTTTAAAACAAATAAATCTAATAAAGCTGTGGAATAATGATGATACAATAACATTTTGAAATTTATTAACGAAATCTGTCATATTGAACTGTCTTATTGAAAAAAAGCATATAATTTTGAGTACCAAAAGTTCTAACGTCCTCTTTAATGTTTTTCGCCACAATGAATAATCCCAAGAATTCTGAATTTACAATGTTAAAAGTCGCACTAACTTACGAATGAAATAAAAATTTTTACGTAAACTACTGGTGCAACGAAGTTAACAATGCATCTGCTCAAAGAAAAGGTTTGCAGTCAAATGAGCCGCACAACTGTTCCTTCAAAAAATCCCCCTGCATTTTCATTAATGCTATTTATGGTGTGGTTACAAAATTAAATACTTGAATTATTGTCACTTCTTGTCGCTACAAATCTATGTTCAAGAATTATATTAAAATAATGCTAAAATTGAGTTTTTTTTTTACCTTCAGACTTAAACAGTCATTTCTTTCAATAAACTACTGCTTTTTTTCAAAGAAGAAGACAGTTTAAGAAAGGTTAAAAAAAAATAAAATTGCTCTAACGAAAATTTAACCACTAACATTTCCTCGTTCATTTTCAGGAAGCGTGTCAATATACATATGTGATTCAGCCTTCAATAAAACCTAAAAATATCCTGATTACAGATGTTGTTCTTTTTCTTTTAACTGTTTTAAAACTACATTTTCAGGTCTAATGTAGCCAATATGAGAATAAACTTTGTCAATTTCAAACTTACTCATAAATATTTGCAAAGAAGAAAAAAATTTAAAAGAGTTGAAGGAAACTAAAAAATACACTAACCTTATTTTCTGATGGTACACTCTCATCTCTTATTCGAACAAATTTGCTTCTCCTTCTTGGAGCTTTGTCATCCGAAAAACTTCCAGTTGACGTTAAAGTTTGATCAACTTCAGTATTTGAACCTAATTGCGACTCAGTTGCTGCTGTTATTATGTCATCTAAATCGCGTAGAACGTCGTAGAGTACTTTTGGTGATACCTGCAGACTTTTATAACGGTGTGCGTGTGAGTGGTCTTAACCATTTGTAAAGTAACAGAAATATCTTAAAGATTTCCAAAGTCAAAAAACTACAGTTTTATGAGACCTAATTTCAGACAGTAAATTCAAACAGTAATGTACAGTCAAAATAACCTCGAAGTGACTGGCAACAATATGTAATAATTCAGCAATAGACATTCTGGTGCCACCAAACCAAACCTCAACATGAGCAGCTCCGCTAAAGTTACGACCAAGATAATGTAACTTCCTAAGATAGTTCAACAGAGCAGCAACAAAAGTGGACATAACAACCTAAAGTAAAGGCGTTTAAAATAATGGATCAGCAGAATGGGAACTATCGTTGAAAGTGTTCGAGAAAAAAATTTTTGCACAGTAAGCAGTGGTATTTTCACACTAACCACCTACCAAAATTGCTATTAAAGTAAGGTAATCCAGAAAAAAAAAGTTTGTATTTCAGGTATTAAAGTAACAGTTGATCAAGTAAATTAGAATGTCAAAAAAAAGACAAGGTGAGTTAAAGATTATTCTTCAAAATATTCACCATTCCAGTAGCTAGATAAAAAATTACAACTGAAGTTTGCAACCAGCCATCCGGTGTCGGTGTTATATCACCAAAGCCAATTGTTGTGATTGAAATAAAACTAAAGATTTCTATTTAATAAAAATAATTTTGCAAGCATTAAATAATTAGTAAAAATTATTATAAGAGGAAGACAAAAGGAAAAAAATTATCGCTTATTATAGATGACAGTAGAATTCTTGAAGACATCTAATTTTGCTCAACGTTATAAGATTAGTTGCAAAAATGAAAGAAATTAACTTGAATTGTTTACCTGAAATAAATTGCTGGAATAATAGGTCGTTGATCAATCCAAAAATGAAATAAAAAACCACCAGCAACAGACAGTATTAGCAATATCAATATAACAATAGGTAATGGTAATCGACTTTCATCTGATGTTGGAAGACTCTAAACAGAAAAAATAAAAGTTGTTGTAAAAGTTAAAAGTTAAGGTAATATTAGAATTTCTAAAAAAAAAACTCTTTTGGTTTATAAAGGCAACTGCTTAAAATCTTTTTAATATTATAAAAATTAGAATATTATATAATAAAGAAGTAGATAAAAAAGTGGTAGTAATAAAAAAAAAAGCCATTATCTTTGCACTTTTATACACCTACTCGTTGTTTTTTTAATGATGCAAGTAAAATCCAGTAAGCTTCAGCAAGAAACTGTCCCATATTTGTTAACGATAGGAATAGTGATGGAACACCAATAAGTGTATAAAAAATACAAAAAAGTTTACTGACGTCATTGGTTGGAACGAGATTTCCATAACCTAAAAATACAGTGCTTCTTAACCTTCCTTTTTTTTTTTCAATTTTTTTTTTTCTACAACATTTTCAGATTACTCAGCATAAATGCTGTTTCTAAATTCATAAAAATGAATAGGGATTTATTTAGATGTGTTCAGACAATGAAAGCTTATTGTTGGTTAGACTTATCAAATCGGATAGTCAGTGACAGCAGTTTTCTCATTAACTTTTGAAAATTTGTTTATTTATCATTTTTTTTTTTACAAAAATTTGTACATTTAAAACGGCAATGTAAAGGTAAATTTTATTGATGAGAAGATTGAAGCAATTACTGTTTAAAAAAAAAAAGATAGTTTCCTTCGTTTACGTACCAATTGTTGCAATTGTAGTAAATGTGAATAAAATTACTTCATAGAGTTGATATCGGCTAAGTTCCGAATCAATAATTTGAAAGATTATTGCACCGACAACAATGTAGAAGGCCAAGTAAAGATTTATTATCAGATGTGGTACAGATGCAATAAAGAACTAAAAAAAAAAAAAA